GAAATATTTTTTATAGTGCCACAGTGCATATCTGTGCACTTAAGAGTGTTGGCTTCTGAAAGTTGTTTCCAGGGCACGAGGATGAAGAGGACCAGAAATATTAATGAGCACACCTCACCATTTAAAGAACTTGTGCAGTTTGCTGAAGTAGGTTTTCAAGTCCTCAGAAAATTATTCTATTTACTCTAACAAGGATTCCATTTATTGTTGTGTTTTAATATGACTTTGAGGCCAGCAAGAAATTTGCTGCTGGGAGGGGGGAAAATAAGAGAAAGGGGAAAGGAATAGAGCTGTGAGAAGATAAGAGCAGAGCACCAGGCATCAGTGAGCTTTCAAAGCACCAATCTACACTGCAGTCTAATCCATGCAGGATTAACTAGTTTTTATTAGATCTACACAAGAGGCGAGAGGATTACTACAGGTAGCCAATGAGCAGATGGTGGAGATTAGCTGAGGGACGAGCGTTGGAGAGCAAAGAGTGAAATATTTTCTATATAATACAGTCTTTAGAGGAATGATAGGTCTCTGGAAAGACCTATAGTACTAGGGGCTTTATACTAGAGTTAAAATCTTAGCATACATAAATTAGTGCATAATAAGGTTGGACACAACGCACTCATGAGGCATAGACAAATGGACAGTGCAAACATTCTAATGTTTTGTTTTTCATTTAGTAGATACAGTTGGAAAGAACACTGTGTGATTTCCTTAACAATATTCATATTTTAATAGGCATGAAACACTCCCAATTGTGTGGTCAAGGAATCAAATGCCATTGTTTGCAAGATAACAAAATGCCTGTGCCTCTCAGAATGGAAGTTGGGCCTATGATGCATCACTATGGTTTAAGATTTTGTCACAGTAAAATTATGCGTAATTCACAGCACAATCACAGTAAAAACAGATCATTTCACACTATGGTCATAGCAACTTTGTGGACCCTGCTGCTGTTTGCTTTGATATAGTGCTCCTTGAAACAGGTCTAGATCAAAGCTAATGAACCGTTAATCCGAGGCAGTTAGGTCCATATAAATGGCAAAATTCACAGTTCTGTGCCAGTGATGATCACTGTGACATAATCATATCTTCATGGCCCTGCCTTTCGGAATTGGCTGGACACATGTTGAACATAAAACTCAAGACAGAGTGAGGAAACTCCAGACAAAAAGATAGAAAATGGGGGTTGCAGGTTTATGTGGAATTTAACTGTGTGAATACTTTATGGCCAATGAGCTGTTGCTGTTTTGAAGCAACACCCCCCCTTACCCTGCCTGCCAGCCAAAAAGCTACATTGGCATCCCATTTGCCATTGGAAATGCTGACTCCACCAATGCACACACCATCATTGGGCCAGAGCAGATTATTATCTCATACTGGTGAGAATCTGCTGTAAATCCTTTGATTTCATTGGCATTACTCCGGAGTTAGAGCAGTATCTAAACTCTTGGCATCACTCGGCTAGCAGTCACAGGTTAAGTACAAATAATTAAATCAAGATACCGTATTCTGCACAGCTTCTGTCATTGGTGGCAGCCATGCTGATGCATTCAGTGTCATTTTACTGAGAATCAGTCACATTCATAGATTTTGGGGATGTAATAGAGAGGAGAGTTGGCTAAAGCTGTATGTTTGTGTTACTGCTTGTTTTAATAGCTTGTCTTTCTTACAATAAATACAGAAGGCGAAATAATCACTGTTAATTTGTACATTCTCAACCAGGGGACTAACAGACCACAAGGTTTGGTAGAATACATTTTAGACTAGCTATAATTAATTGCACAATATTTAAAATCTGATTAAGTATGTAATAGGCTCAGTGAAGGCTTCCTTTCCTCCATAAGATATATACATTTTTATCATACCTTTATTTCACAGTCTTGTCAAAAGACAACTGGCTGCTGCAGAATTATTTAAGTTGCATCCTTAAAAAGGAAACTTCTTTATTCTTGGTTGGCTTTGCTGGAAAAAAATCATTCATATTGGCATAATTCTTGCATATATATTTCATATACAGACATTATTAGGCAGCTAAGAGATGGGGTTTTGATGGCCTGAAAAGCAGGGCAACTAGAAAACTAATAAGCTGTGGAATGTTGGGTTACTAAATTACAGGACCACCATTTGCCTGCTACATGTTTAAGACTTTGGGGAGCATTGATCAGGGAAGAAAGGAGATACTTGATCAAAGGGGCCAGATTAGATTAAATTTGAACTAATTTCTGATTATGGTTTGGAGAAAATCTGGCCTCCCTACTTAAAGTGCATTCAAAGTCTAAAATGTCTCTCTCTAAAAATAAGCATATTTCACCCCTATTCCTTCCCAGTAACATCCATTTTCTTTTAACCGCCAGGGCCGTAAATTCCAGCCAGGATCTGAAATTGAAGTTGTTGTTTTCTTCTGCATTTTGTATCAGCAAATGTGCAGTGCAAGTTTAGTTGACCACTGCACTGACGAAGTGCATGACGTCTGAATCCAACTCGCTCTCCCCTAGCTGTATGGGGTTTTCAGGGCCAACAGGAGTAAACACTTCTTGGACATTAAGGTTGGGATTTGCAAGCAAGCCTGATCCCACTGAATTTCAAGGGAAGTTGGGCACTTCATTCCCTTAGGCTCTGGTTTTCAAAGGAGCCTAAAACCAGCAGATGATAATTTATAGGGCCAAATTCTGTTCACACTATTTACAACATAAGCAATACCATTGAAGCAATGTGTCTAGTAACAAGATTTGGCCCTTACTATGCCGAAGAGTAGATCTGTTGAAAAACACTGCGCCAATTTTACAATCACTTTTCCCCACCGGAACACCTTAAAAATATATGGCTCAGAGCATGGAACTCAGTCCGGAGCTTCTGGAATGTACCAAAGTTTCACACTAATGGGAAGGTCCGCTACAATTCAACAGGGCAAATTCCCAACATTGCCTTGGGGCCCTTGCTGTACAGTTACACACCAATACTGTCTTCCTCACAATACATAGAAGAATAAATTATTACAACACCATGTGTTAGGAGAACCTGTTTTCTCTGAACCTAGGAGGGAGGATATGGACTGGCTTCAGAGAATTTAAGTGCTAAATCAGCTAGTAACCTGCTACAAGAAAAAGGAGAATTCCTGGGATTGGATAAACTGGTACCAGTCCTCGCTAGAGGCTGCCACTACTAACCACACATTAGCAACTGGAAGTATTAGCCACTGGAACTCCCAAGTTGTCAGGGATCTTCAGTTTTGCTCTTGACATTTTAGTGAGCTTGTTGGTTTATTTTTTTTTTTTTTTTTGTTGCTGATGTTATAAACATACACCTATCACCACAGTAATTTAAAAATCACCACCGTACACTACTTCACGGGGGAACACAAGCACACAGTTACTACTGCACAGCACAAGTGTCCTGCAGGTCAACTCACAGCTTCTTCAAAATGAGAAAAGAGAATCAGAAAAAAACAAACAAAAAATACCCTGTTCTAGAGTAGAGGGAAAAATCAAGTATCTTACACTTCCCTTGTTGAAATGCTTACACAGACTTGGCTCAGCAGTATTCTCCCTCTCCCCCACCCCTCAGGACAGAGTCTTCTGCTCACATCTCATTGGAATAGGTGTAGTTAGGGGTGGCAGAATACGGTGTTTCATGCTGCATCGTGGCCCCTTGTGCAGCACCGACTGCCGCATTGTGCGCTGCCTGTTGTACATGCGGGTTCTTCCAAGCTCCCGTGGTCCACTCTTCTTGCGCTTTGCTGAAACTCCCTCCGCTGCCCCGGTAAAATTTATGCACCTGTGTGGGGCAGAGGTAGAGAGAAAAGAGATCACTGATTCACAGAGGTGAGCCCCCAACTATTTTTTTAATTATCTGGCTAGCCTGACAGAACCTAATGCAAAGTGTCCGATCCCGAGAGGTGCTGAGCACTTGCAGCTCCCATTGACTTCATGGGCAGTTACAGGTGCTCAACCCCTCAGAATCAGGACTGAAACCGACAGATGTTGGAATGACAGCCCTGGAGACTGGGATGCTCCACGCAACGACCCTGGCAGTGCAACAATTCTGACCAAAGAGGCTCAACCCTGACCTAATGGGACCCGCTCTGATGGGTGAAAGCAGTTCATCCTCCATCTCCATTTAGTTTTTGTGCTCTGCCTAGACTGCCAACAAGAGAAGCAAATTGACCTGTTGGGATGGTAGTTCATGATGTGGGCAACTGTCTCACTACTGTTTCCAGTGAACCATCAATTCAACGCACATATGCCACCGATCAATCATTGATTGGTCACTATAGATTGGTACAGACAACCTACCCTATTACAAGTCTTCCCCAGAGTCATTCAGTCCAGGGCTTTGGAGCGGAGCTGGAGCACGGAGCAGCTCCAGAGCAGTGGAGCTGCAGGATTTTGGCTGGAGCTGGAGCAGAGCCAGAGCACAGCTCCAAAGCCCTGGTTCAGTCCCCTCTATATCCATATTCCTAAGGCAGGAAACAGGATAGACGGAAAGTTGCATTTCATCAGACACCCAGGGCCGGTGCAAGGAAGTTTCGTGCCCTAGGCGAAACTTCCACCTTGCGCCCCCCCCCCCCCGCCCCGCGGCAGCCCCCCCCCCCCCCCTTCGCCCTGAGGCGCCCCCCCCCCCCAGGAGCCGTGCAGCAGCTCCCCAGCCCAGCTCACCTCTGCTCCGCCTCCTCCCCGAGCACACCGCCCCCGCTCTAATTCTCCTCCGCTCCCAGGCTTGCGGCGCCAAACAGCCGATTGGCACCACAAGCCTGGGAGGCGGGAGAAGTGGAGCGGCTGCTGCGCTGGGAGAGGGAGTCTGAGCCACACGTGTCAGCACGCTGCCGGCAGCCCAGCCCAGGAACGCTGTAAAAAAAAAATGGGGGCACCGCTTTTTGGCACCCCCAAATCTTGGTGCCCTAGGCAACCGCCTAGTTTGCCTTAATGGTAGCACCGGCCCTGCAGACACCTTTCACAAACACCTACCTCATTTTCTAACCTCAAGAGCCCCCACCCAACTTGCTAACCTCAGAGAATGCATGTCTGTGCTTTGGGGGATTAGAGAAGTTGTAATTAAGACTGAGCAACCCACACATCAAAGACAGGAAAAAAATAAGGTGAAGGCTCTAAAGAGCTCGTTCCTAGCTCTAAACCATAAAAATCACCATCATGGAACCAATCACAGGGCAGCGGACCTCTAAGTGAGAACGAAGTCCAGGAACAGGAGAAACGGAAAGTTTGGGGCTTTAGTGAAGACTTGAGTTTGATTTATTTTAGATTCTTGCTAAACTTTTTAAAAATTCTAAACATTACTTACCGTACCCAAGAATTTCTCAAGGGAGCCCAAGCAATCAACATTCTTATTTAAGTCATTCTTGCTCAGCTTCTAGGATGAGCTGAGCAATAAGAGTACTTCTCTGTTTTTTTTTAAATTCAGCAGCCCACAACCTGCATCTTGCCAGAGCCTAAGGGTACGTCTACACTTACTTCCTGGTTCGGCGGCAGGCAATCAATCTTCTGGGATTGATTTATCGCGTCTTGTCTAGACGCGATAAATCGATCCTGGATCGATCCTGGAAGTGCTCGCCGTCAACGCCGGTACTCCAGCTCGGCGAGAGGAGTACGCAGCATCGACGGGGGAGCCTGCCTGCCGCGTCTGGACCCGCGGTAAGTTCGGACTAAGGTACTTCGAATTCAGCTACGTTATTAACGTAGCTGAATTTGCGTACCTTAGTCCGAAGTGGGGGTTAGTGTGGACCAGGCCTTTGGGAACTCAAACATCAAGGGTCAAGTCCTGTCCTAGATCTGACAGCACTAGATTTGGAGAGGTTCTCAGTTTGACAAAAACAGTTGTTTCAGCCCTAAATGCAACAGTGGCACCAGAAATTGTGAACAAAGGGTTGCTCCTAACAGAACAAAGGATGGAAAGTACCCAGTGGAGCTCTCTCTAGAAACACCATGAAGCAATGAACATCCCAGCTTGGATCTCCTCCCCAGAAGACCACCCAGAAAATGTCACAATTTCTGGTCTCTAATCCAGCACTCATACCATACTGAGGGCAATGAAGGAGAAGACTGCCACGACTGTAAACATGATGGTGGGGATAAGCATCACCACAGCTGCACCTACGTTGGTCCCAAAGAAGGATATTGCTGCAATCCAGCCACTGCAGGGAGATGAAAAAGGGTTCTGGTTAAACAACGGCATTGTTGCAGCCATGCATATCCAGTAGCTATGGTTTTTTTCCCCATTGGCTTTGTATGCTGCAAGTGGCAAACCTCACTCTAAAATTATTCTTCTCCCAAACCCTTCAGTATCTTGGATGACCCTTTCCCTGGCTGACAAAAGATAATACTAAGCCATTCCTGAAACCAACAAGCACCCTAAGGGCCTCTCCAATGCCTCCTAAAAGAACTAGATAAGTTCATGGAGGATAGGTCCATCAATGGCTATTAGCCAGGATGGGCAGGGATGGTGTCCCTAGCCTCTGTTTGTTAGAAGCTGGGAATGGGCGACAAGAAACAGATCACTGGATGTTACCTGTTCTGTTCATTCCCTCTGGGGTACCTGGCATTGGCCACTGTCAGAAGACAGGATACTGGGCTAGATGGACCTTTGGTCTGATCCAGTATGGTCGTTCTTATGTTCTACCTCCTTTCTCCGCCACATCACATCCTTCATCACCCTTCTCCTCCCACTCCACTAATACACTCCTTCCATACTCCCACTTCCACCCACTCGATGTCCTGAACTAGCTGAGCCAGGGGACTCTGGAATTTTTTTCTTCCTCCATCCTAACAGGAGTCAGCTGTGCCTAGCACCTGAAGAGAAGAAAGGTTGAACATGACAAATTCCTTACCAGACTCCCCAGCCAGGGATCCCCACCGCCTGGATAATGCTGATCACCAGCTGGGCCATGAAGGTGAAGAAGAAAGCCATGAAGCTGAAAGAACTGTCTGTCCTACAAGAGAAACAATTTATCATCCTCCTCCTCCTCACTGCTACCCGTGTCTCAATCGGTACTCAAGCTGCACTCCGAATGGCAGCAAGGAAGCTCTCGTCACTCTGAACACCCAATATCACTGCCACCAGCTCAGCTAAACAATCCTTTTTATTCCAGCAGAGATTTTTTTTGCCATGATGCGGTGGATGAGAATGGGAACGGATGGTCCAGTGTGAACAAGAGCTGCCCTCAAAGAATAGTCAGGATAGTGACATCACAGCATAAGGAAGGAGAAAGGAAAATGAGGGGCTCAAGCTGGGCAAACGGGTGTCAGAGAGCAGAGCTTCTCCAAGGCTCTATGGCTATGTCTACACAGGGATAAAAAAATCTGTGACTGGCCTGACTCGGGCTTGTGGGGCTCTTGGGCTGAAAAATCTGCTGTGTAGGCATTTGGGTTCAGGCTGGAGCCAGAGCTCTGGGACCCTGCAAGGGGTGGACGGTCCCAGAGCTGGGGCTCCAGCTGGAGCCCTAACATCCACACAGTGATTTTTAACCCCACAGCCTGAGCTCAATGAGCCTGAATCAGTTGACCTGGGCCTGCTGCAGGTCTTTTATCCCTGTGTACGTACCCTATTTAGCTACTTACATAGTCCTAATTACCATATTATTAGAGCACCTCATAGTTAGCAGATTTTATCATCAACACCCCTGTGAAGCAGTGAAGTATTATTCCCAATTTGCACCTAGGAAATGGACAAAGTCACACCAGTCTGTGTCTGACTGGGGAATTGAACTCAGCTCTCCTGAGTCCATGTGCAGTGCCCTATCCACTGGACCATCCTTCCTCCTCACAAGCAGGGAGGACCAAAAAATCCATTTTTTTAATTTTTTTTTTATTTTGTTCTTTAAATTAAAAATAAACCTGTTTAAAGAAATCGGTTAAGGCCTAAAATTATTATAAGCTCTTAAAACATTTAAATAAAAAACAACTAAGCTAAATCCATAAACCTGTATCAAAAACTGAGTTAAAGGCTGTTTTTCTGTATTAAGAAAGAATCAGGGGGAAAACATATAGCTTCTGAGGTCGAGCTTTATAAATATGGCACAAAGGTCATGTACTGTATTAAGGGTTTGTTTTGTTTAATAAAAATTAATTTTATATGCTGTTCCGAGTGTTACATTCAATTCCAGTTACTATCACAATGCAGCTTGACACAAATCATAAGCAAAAAGTAAATTATCTGGCAAATATACAATGTACTGTTCACCAGTTTCTAAGATACTAAAATATACAATGAATAAATCTGAAAATATTAAGCTATATAACTGCTTAAATACACGTATATAGTTATAGCATACCCTCCTAGGTAGCAAAAAAGACGTACCGAAACTAATGTAAAGCTCTATTTAGTTGTAAGTGAACATGCTTTAATGGTTATACCAACCAATGAGAATGCACCTCTCTTCAGAAAATGACTGAAGTGCAAATGGACAAGTTGATTAAAATCGATTATTTAACTCAAGGCATTCCACTTGGTGATTTAAAATCGCCTTGATTTAAATCAGTCCACCCTGCTCTCAAGTAGGGAACTAATGAAGCATTCAGCAAACTGCAGGGGACTGGTAGAATGGTGTACTTTACATTTGGTGATGCATGGATTGCTCTAATTTGCACACATAACCAACACAAATACATGCTCTCCACCCCCAAAAGGTTTGTAAAAGGAGTCTCTAGTAGAAAGAAAATATTCACCCCCAAAAATAAAAATCAGATCTCCCCCGCAAGCTGGGGCTGCAGAGAACTGAGTTTCTGGAGCTAGTGTGTTGTCTAGGACAAAGAGAGGTCCACAGAGCCACATTTCTTGAGGTAATGGGATAGTTGGATACCCAACAACTAATCTAAACTGCCATCGTTCCATTGACTTCAATGGACCTTTGCAGCTTTAGACCAGCTGAGGATCTGTCTTCGGGTTTCCTGAGAATGAATCTGAGCTTCTAGTGTCAGGAAAAAGGAATTTGTAAGAACCTCAACTTCCAATACCTCTTCCATCATGCTTTTGCGTCATGGCCCAATGAGACTTGAAAGTCAAAGCATGAACCTTAGAATTAAAGGCCCTGATTCAGCAAGATACACAAGCATGTTCCTACATTCTGTTGACTTCACCGGGACAAATCATATGCTTAAAATTAAGCGGGCGCTTAAGTACATTGCTAAATCAGAGCCAGAGGAGGAGCTGTTTAGCTGCTCTCCCTCCTCTATCTCTCGGGACTGTAGAACCCTTTGGTTATTGACTCAATGCAGAGGATTCTAGAGTCAGAGAAGCGTGCTGTAAACACTAAGATTGCTGGTACCCTGTAGTTCTTAGCTGGAACAAGGGGGCTGTGATGTTAGGAAGAAGCACTTGCAACTCATCTAAATATTGACCTATTTTCCCATCTCCAGTTCTAGTATCAGAGAAGGGCTGTCAGAGTTTCTCTGATCCCCAAGGCATCTCTCTTCAGGAGTCTCCACATTCTGCAGCAAAAGCACAGAGTCTGTCAACTTGGACAGGAACAGCTGGAATGTATCCATTCATTATGCACTGTACCTGTGGACTCTGGTCCAAGTTACCATGTGATAGAACACAGCATTCAAAGTTTTCTGTTCACATACACTTCCCAATCTCCCATGACTAACTGTCAAGAACCCCACTCAGAGGGAAAATATATATTTGATATAGTAGTCTTTATGGAGAGCTGAGATCTTAATCCTGAACATCCAAGATTTCAAGGTAGGAAAGTAAAGTTAAAGGTAGGAAGGGAAGGGAGGGATTCCCAAATAGAGGTGACCCAGTCTAAGCATTGGTTAGTCATGAGAAGAAAGGGGAAAGACAGTGAGAAGCTGTGCCCAGCTGTGACCACTTACTTGAAGGCTTTGTAAATAGGTCTAAACCAGCAGACATAGGAGCAGGGTGTAAAGAGAAGGAGCCAGAGAATTGCCAGTCCAAAATTAACAGCTCCACCGCCTCCAATCAGCCATGCGAGGCAGCCAATCAGATTCACTGCCAAGGTGATGCTGTTCACTGCAAACATATATACACACAGACACACAGAGGGAGCAAAGTAGCACACGGCAAGAAAGTAAGCTGTGACTGAAGGGACCCTTCAGGTGGCTACGTCCATGGGGTTCAGAAATGTTCAGGCAGGTTTAAGCCAAGGGTGGGGTTTTGTCTTCAGTTTTTATCATCCTTCTCCCCTCTATAATTTTCACAATTAGTCTTTCCATGCCCACCAGGCTCCCTGGGGCAATGGTTCCAAGCTAGCCGGAGCAGGCTGGCATCAATGAATCATGGCCTAATTGTGGCTCCCCTGCATATGTCACCCATTACAGGTGGTGAGAGTTTGGGGGCGGCGGAAAGGTACAATCATCTACGAGTGAGAGTAACTGAAACACAATTAATTTCTCCCTTGCCACCAAAGGATGGAAATGAGAAAACTAAAGGAAGCTCCTCACTTGCCACCAGCAATGGCTTCACTAAAGGGAGTGCGCTCCCAGGCAAGTTGGACCAAGTAGCCAAGCTGCCTTTCCCAGGACAAATCTGCTTGAGCCATTGAACACCAACTGACCGATTCTGAGAACTGAAGTCACAAGTTCCTGATGGTCTATGGCACGTCCAGATCAGTTCAACAGGAAAAATATTTCTCCAATAAGATACCAGGAGGCTAAGTGATACAGGCCTACTACAATGAAGGGAAGCCTACCAGAGACTAGACAATGCAGAGGAGAATCTGTCATCTGCACTTCTGTGCCTCAGAACTTCAGGATGAATCTTTGTTCCAATCAGAATTAATGCCCACCAAGCAATGTAATGGAGCAGCCAGCTGGGATGCTTCGCTGTACGAGATGAAAATGTTCAGCCAACCCAGTGATCTGACGGGCAGGGCATCCACATGTGCATTACATCATACAGCACTCAAGGATGTCCCATCACTGTCTGAGCCCAACCCCCGCTTTTTCCCCCCCAGGGGACGTTTTGGACTCCTTTCTGACATGTCTTCTCCCCAGGGGACAGGCTCACCTAAAGGGTCTCCTTGGACAGCAAGTTAATAGAAACAATCTCAGCAAGTTCAACAGAGATGTGGTGTTTGTGCTTTTGCTTTTCAAGGCTCAAGAACAAAAAGGGGCCTATTAAATACAAGTGTAATGAGTGCAGCCAAATCAGGGATGGGCCGTCAAAGTGATTGTACACCTCCCTCCTGGCACCCAGCAAAATACATTTAACAGAATAATTTGTCAGTGTCACTACAACAGCCTCCCTGAATGAGGAAGGAGAAAGCTAGCGCAGCTCCAGACTCCTAGCAGCACACAGAACCAATGCTGAAAACTGGGCAAGTCAGCAGGGTGGGAAGTCCATCGGAGGAGACAGATGCATGAGTTAAAAGCATAAACACCCAGTCCCTTTGGTGCTGATTCAGCTCCTTCTAACCTGCACTTGGAGCACACACCACTCCCCAGGGAAGGTTGCTTCAATGCAATACTCCATTTTGCTTTCAATGTTCAGAGAGAACACCTGATAAGGAACAGAGGTCATCTTAAAGGCAGAGGGTGCCCGGTGCCTGCTCCCACAGACCCTGTATGTGCCATCCAATCACCCAGCAGCATCCCCCCCTCCCCCCCCTGCCAAGGAGGAGGATGGAAATGTTCATTAACAGCTCCTCCTCTCCCTGCTTCCATCCTACCCCATCTCAGAACGTCTACCTAAAAAAAACATCTGCACTGTCCTGGTTTACATAGCAGCAAACTCACCAGTAAAGCTTCAGAAACAGAATGTGGGGAGGGGAGGGACATGGGCAGGGCCGTCCCTAGCTATTCTGGGGCCCTACGCAGCCCCCCCCCCGCGGGGGGTGGGTGGGGCTGGTTTGGGGGGACAGGGGGAACCACCCCCCAGCAGTCACTGGAGGCGCAGCTGGGGCTGGGTTGCTGCACTTCCCTCCGCCAGTGAGTGCAGGCCCAGCCCTGCTTCAGTCCTCAGGGGAGTGGGGGTGGGGCTGAGGCAGAGAAGGGTGGGAAGAGGCAGAGGCCATGGGGAAGAGGCGGGGCAGGGGTTGGAGCAGCACACAGCGGCACAGGGCACCAGGAAATTTGGTACCCCGAATTTCCTGGTGCCCTACGCAGCTGCGTACTTTGCGTATGGGTCGGGACGGCCCTGGACACTGGTGGAACAATCTTCCATCTCATTTTAAAAAAGGGTCGTGACTTCAGTCACTAGGACTGTCACTACTACACAGAAGTCCTCGATTTAGGCACAAGTCAGGTGGAGTAGCCCTGCAAGCTTCTCCACCAGGAGTGCTGTAACCTCAACCTGGAGGGATCTCCTCTGGGAACAAGTTTAGTTTCCAAGGGCCATTCAATCCTTGGCTTCTCCTCCGGGCTAGCCAGTAAAGGGGTCAAATCATGCCAAATGCAGTGGTGGTTTCTCAGACGTGGATTTCTGATTAAACTTTCCCCACATACCCCAATTTGCTCGGGCAGTTGTGACACTGACTCTCAGCACTGGCTGGATTTCCTAAGCAAGTGTATATCCTGGGGAAATTTACTCACTTAGCTGCACTCTGTTTAGTAAAGTTACATGAACTGTGCACTCTTGCTACACTGAATGCCCTTGGGGTCAGGATACCCGGAGCAAAGAGATGGCAAGCTCCACACCAGGCTTCAGAAGGGGGAAAAATACATCTGAAGGAAGAGCAGCCCAAAGGGGGTGTAAAACCTATCCTCTTCCCCTCATAGGGAAGCCTGCCACTCTGTCTGCTTTACTTGCCCACAGGTCAAACTAGTAGATGGTCCCTATGCAAGGGAAATCGATTCCAGCAGCCAGCTAGTTGCATCAGTGGCATTAGGAACTACCCAAGGGACCACAGCTTGGGGGAGAGCACATCACTCAGCAGCTGCAGAAGGGACAGGTGAGGTTTGGCTCTGAGGAAAGCCTCAAGCGCCTGCACCCTGGGGAGCAGGGTACTGCAGAGATTACACTTTTTGGCTGGCCGAAAGCGACCGCTCACTGCATCAGAGGCCCTGTACTCAGTAATTTAAAGTGGCATTTCAGCTTCAGAGGCAGCCATGCGGCTTTGGGCTGGATGTGGAATTTGCAAACTGGGAAATGGGGGAGTAGTGACCTAAAAACACAGGGCTGGAGGACAGCTCCACATCTTCCACCTCAATCTGGCTCAGATTCCTGATTCAGGAGGGCCCTGGCAGGATTTGCAGAAACGTTGCATGGGTTTTTTGGCAGGGAAGGGAGAGCCCAAGCACAGATATCGCTGCAATTAAATACTTGGAAGTGTGCTGGTGGGGCCTACATTTCCCAAGTGACGAGCCCTCTGGCTGAGGGAGCCTGACAGGGAGAAAATCAGAGCAGTAAATCCTTCAGCAAAGAGAAACTCATTGGCTGATCTGTTCCACCTTAGGGCAGGCTCTGTGAGGGAGCAGAGTTCATGAGTGGTCTCTAGTTTGTGAAGTGCACGTGATCACCTAGAGGGTGGGAGAGGACACCCTGAGACGAGTTCTAGGGCTGGCTCCAGCAGAGTTAAAGCTAGAGATGAGCTCAAGCCTTCCAGAAAATCAGATCCCAATTGGAACCTAAACTCTGTGACTGGGGCCTCTTTATAATGGCCCAACCCAGAACCCCACTCCCCAAATATGGAGAAGCTGAGATTTGGAGCTGAATGTCAGGACCCAGATCCCATCACTAGTTTAAACCTCTTCAGAAATATGCAAGAGACAAAAAGTCCCTAGACTCGGGGGCAGGATGATGTTTCCCTTAGTGCCACTTTGTTCTTTACACTAACACTTCTAGAGAAGAGCATTCAGAGAAGCAGGCATGAGCATTTCTCTCTCGACCCATCTGATCCCTTCCTCTCCTGTAGACATAGGGTGCCTGCCCCAGGGATGACTCACACATCCAGAGGTAGTAAAGGCGCTTGGCCAAGGTTCGATGCTGTGGTGGAATGTCATCATCAAAATCCTGGTAGAAACATGGCTTCAAGGGGATGAATCTTGGGAGTGGAGGAAAATTGTTCACCTTTTCTGTGACAAGAGATAAAATATGTATCACTGAACAGAGCCCAACACAAGTGTCTGTTCCTCCAAACTGATCTGATGTTGCTGATTGGTTAAAGCGCTGATCTAACCTGAGCAGTGACTTTGAAAGTAGCCTAGTGGGGTTACGTGTTTGTGTCTCACTGATTTCCAGCTCAGATTTGCTCAGTTTATAAGTAAAAAAAGATGATTTCCCCTCATTGCCAGCCTTGCAACTCAGCTTGGGCTCCGACAGTCCAGCTGGGCTCTTTCTTTCCACACACAATCACCAGGAATAAAGATTGTGCATGCCAAATTATACCCTTTGTGACACATATGACCCCACTGAAGGTAAACTTGGTTGCAAAGGCCAATATGTTACCTTCATTAAAGCACTGAGCCCTTTAATAGAAAAACCAGTTCTACAAGATCCAGCAGAGATTTTTCCTTACCTGCCATGGTGTCTGTCCGTCTCTACTCCGCAGCTAAGTTAGAGAACAGCTTGCACCTCTGCCAAAACTGGAAGAAATCAAGAGACAGTAACGACACTAAGGGAACAGACACCGAGAACAACAGGAAATAATGTTTCCTCTACATTCAACCACTTCCCAGGATTTATTCTGTTACCGGAAGTGCAAATGTCCTAACACCATAATCCCTCCCCACCACCCCACTGATTCAAGCCTGGGGAAATCCATGTAGTCTCTTGGCATTTCTCCAATGTATATCCTTCCCAAATTAAGGGAGTAAATTGAATCCTTTCCTGCCTCCTCCTCCCCCCCCCCCCCCCCCCCCCCCCAAAACCCCAACCAAAACAAAAACAAAAACAGCTGGCTTCACTGCAACATTCCATGGGATGATCCTCAGACAGAAAGATCCCAGCTACCTTCAATCAGCATGAAAATCACTGCTGGTACGGCAAATCACCCCTTTACAGAAATAACTGGCTCCCAAGGACAGTGCTATAATAAGGCATGGTTGAATTTCCCATTGTTTATGCTATATATATCTCTTCGTTTTCGGTTTTTATTTTATTTTATTTTTCCTGGGAATTTATCGGTGTTTATTATTAAAACAGGCGGAAATTGGTGCAAAAAATATAAATTTTTCTGGGTAAATATTGGGGTTTATTTTGGTCGATGGAAGAACTGGGGGGGGGGGAAGTATTCTGTAGATTAATGCTTTGATTAACAGAATTCAATGTGGTTTGCTGCAGAACTAAAACAGAACTCAAAACACAGTGCCACCTCTTAGTTTAAGAAAACAATATATCGCTAATCCCCAAATAAAACTTTTCACTTGAATAAACAGTTAACTGTTGCAGACTTAGAACTATTAGCCTATAAATATTTACATTTAATAATTGGGCCTCACCATTTGTAGTGCACATACTCAACTGCATCCTTTTCTCCGGTTTTTGTTTTTTTTAAAACTTTCGAATATTTCCTTGTGTTCTGAAACGTATTCTAATACAGATTTTAGTTTTTTTCCCCATTTTAGTGTGTCAGATCTTTAAACCATTATCTGCTAACAGCCTGAAATGTGTACGTGGTGGGCGTGAGATTCATCAGTACGTTCAGATGCGCACGCATTTCAGAGCTTGTGTGCATACCTGTTTGTTTATTGTGTTTATCTTCTAGACTAATACATAGCCTTGCTTCAACAGGCAGCTTTGCATGCACACACAGACTAATGCATTATTGTAATACATATATCTCATGTTTTCCTAATAAAACAAGTTATTTTTTATATATTTGAATGATACAAAAGTAGGATGAAAAATTGGAAAAAATCATAATACTTTTTGTAAAACCCAGGATTATTAGGGATAAAAAATGGGTTAAACTGAAAATGAAGGAGCTTTTATATATATTAGACACGCATGTCTACAGTATTTATACATATACCCAGATCTATTGTCCACCCCGGGAAAGCCATTAGAGTAGTCCACTGGCTACAAAGGCCTAAAACACGTGTTCGAACTAAAGTGCTGGCTGCAGCCAGAAGAGTAAAAGAAAATTCAGCAATGTGGGGCAGGGAGAGGCTTAGGCCTGGTTTCCACTGTGCGGTAAATCGATCTAACTTATGCAACTTCAGTCACGTGAATAATGTAACTGAAGTCGATGTAGTTAGATCCACTTACCGCGTTGGCTACACTGCACTGTGTCGATGTCCCCGCTCCTCCCACCTCCCTTCTGGAAAGTCCTAAGCGCCGCCAAACAGCTGTTTGGCATTGGGAAGCGCTGGGAGTTAGGCGGAGGAGCAGGGACGCAGTGCGTTCGGGGGGTGGGGTGGGGGGGGTGAGGAGAGCTTGGCTGCCGGTGGAGGGGAGCTTGGCTGCTGGTGGAGTCGGCGCCTATGCCGGGCCACAGGAAATAACTCCACGGGCCGCATGCAGCACGCGTGTTTGAGACCCCTGATCTACAACTTACTTGTATTCAGAAATTAAAGTGCTTGTGAACGTTTTTAATTTATAAAGTGCACCAAGTACAGATCAGTTCTGGGCACATGCAGAGTTTAAAAAACAATACACTGCAAAATAAATGAATAAATAATCTCAAATGGCTTACACTAGGCCCTGAAGGTCAGCAGACTTGGGTTTGGTTAGATCAACTGGGGGAGTAGGTGGGGAAGGAGGAGAAGGAATGAGAATTCTAGAGTCAAGGGCCATCCACTTAGAATGCCATGTCCCCAGGCATTTAAAGATATGGGCTCACTGCTCAAGGACCATAGTGACCTCAGCTACTACTGCTGTGCATAGGGAAGGAGAGAGTCTCTCAGGAAATTAAGCTCCAGGGATTTTTAGATTGATAGGGCTAGGGGTACACATAGGGTATTAGAAATCAGTATCAGCGCCATGAATTGCACCCAGAAGGAAGAACATTTGTCAGAACTCCGGTTTAATATATGCACCAAGGTTGCCAAATAGGTCAGTAGCCACATGGAGCATGTGTCTGCTGAAGCTGTAGAGCTCTGACCTAACTGCATCACAGCTCAAATGGTCTAGCTCCCACAACGTTCTCATATGTACACCGAGAAGAAATGGGTGCGTACATACTCTTGAATAGAACCCCACTTAAGCCTGCACACGAGCCCACAAGACAGGTAAGCCATTGCTTCAAAACACCTTCTGCCATCCTTCCAGAGAGGAAAACCGGAAGCACTCAAGAGCAGTACCATCCACCCAATCCTGGCTTTCAGGCTAAACAAAACCTCAGATGATGGTCCCAAAGGCTGCTGATAGATCTAAAAGAAGCAAGATAAACACCTACCCTTTGTCCATCACTAGGCAGAGTTTGCTCACCAACTATGCTACAGTAGTGTCAATTGCATATCACACTACCCAAACCAAAAGCAAGATTTAGCGGATCAAGGAAATCTAAGGGACTCCAGGTGATACCAAAGCTGCACTAGCGAGATTCTTAATTGTAGCAGAGGCCTAACCACCACTCGAGTTAAATTGACACCATGCCCTCTCACAGGGAGGCATTATTCTCAATAACAGACCTAGTACCTGTTTGATTTTACTAACCATGAGGGGCATATGTTCATCTTGTAGGTCTCTGTCTGAAGCTCTCCCAGTGTATCTCCTTGGTGAGCTTTAAAGTGATAGTGCTTAGATACTATAAAAAACCCCCATAAATATATATGTACAAATAGCACCTTATTATTAAGTCCCTGTACCAATGGCAAGCTGGACCTAAATTTTGCAGCAAGGCAGTTTCGTTGGTGGTTTCACTGAATTAAGTATGGAAATAAACAAGTCACTACCGCAGCTCCCGTATTATTTGGATAAGAAGCTCAATTGGATACCATCTCCATGTTTTCAATTTTTACCATGCTGTCGATTTTTGCATCTACAAGAAGAGAAAAAGAGGTAGACAGAAGAAGAGATGGATTGACAACATAAAAAAGTGGACAGGAATGGACTTCGCGGAGACTCAAGCACTGACACACAATCATCAGGGGTGGAGACAACTGGTTGATTGCTCATCAATGATGGTGCCCCAATGACCAATGCGGTTATGGGAGTGATGATGAGATTTTTGCATAGAAAACAGAGAAGAGCATCACAGAATGTGCCAGGGGAAAGTGAGGTCCTGATAGCTGGTGCTTTTGGCACCCAGGAGGATGCAGAAGAAGGTCTGGCATTGGGGATAACACACACTGCCTTGGCATTTCTGCCAAGATGAGCAGCTGAGGCCTCTGACAGCATGTGCCCCAACAAGAGACACACTGGGCCTGATTTTTAAAATAGTTGAGCACACATAGCTCCACTTGCAGACAATGGGAGTTGGCGCTGCTCAGCAATTCCAAAGGATCAGCTCCAAGATTGTGCCCCAAGGGTGCTCAAGTTAAGTGCCCAATCATGGATGCTCAGAAAATTAGCAAACACATTTACAAAAACCCTAGCACATAAATCTGTAAAGCCCCTTTAGTGATCAAACCCACATATGGGGCTTAAACTGACGCAAAGTCACTTTCACATAAACAAAGTCACCCAACACAACCATCTGAACCCAGCCTACTGTCCCCCTCACTTGCACATCTAGTACAGCTACTAAGTTCATGCTCAGACAGTCAGCTTGCTGAATATTCCAGTTCCTCTGTTATTACTTGTGGTAGAAGTGCAAGTGCAGACCAGAGAGGGTCACTTTTACCAACGGGGCCTATCTAGCCCTCCAGTAAGAAAATCATTTGCACAGACAAGGTCCAATAGGTTAACTACGAGTGATGAAAAGTAAAACAAATACATGACACATATTTGGGACCAAATCCTAGCCCTACTGGAGACAATGGACATTTTGCCATTGACTTTAATTGGACCACCATTTGGCCTTCATAAAAAAAGTAATGGACATTTTCTCTTTATGCAGTGAAATTCCCACTACTGCCTGTAAATCAGCTGCATG